CGGTGGCCACGGGCCCTGTCCGCAGAGCTGGGCGAACACACGAGCCGCAGCTTCGTCTTCCATCTTTCAGTTTACAGTTGACGAATGTCGCACGAATGAGACGTTGTCATTTGAAACTTGTGCTTTTCAGGCGCACGGTTTACTGAACGGGCCTCGTTTCCGTCTGTCAGCTTTTCCCGTTGGAAGGAACAGAGGCTCACGCGAGCAGACTCGTAGCACGGGGCCCATGTCATGAAGACGCACAGACGAAAAGGAGGCCTGTCACTCCGAGGCGAGACCGTGCCGGGGGACTTGGCCCCAGGCCCGCCCTTCCTGGGCCTGCGATCCGGGCCCGTACAGGTGGCTTCGCTACGCTCTGCTTTCTGCCCCTGTAAACTCCTGCGTTAGGCAGCTCAGATTAGTAAGTTCCGTTTTTCCCGCTGGGCCAGAGAGCTATGGGTACTCGCAGCCTGGCCTTGCTCGAGGTGGTGGGGGGTTGGGGAGATGGGGTCAAGTTCAAGTCACAAAATACACGCTGCTCCAAAGGCAGGCCCGGGGTCTCGGGGAGGGTGGTCGTGTGCCAGGCGATGACCACGCGGAGCTTCGCGAGGATCCGGGGCGGGGAGTCATTTCTCCCTCCTGAGTTCTGGTGTCACTTAACAAGCCTCAGGCGGTCAAGAGGTTACGTGCTCCCTTTAATTCTGGAAGGTGTGACCTTGTGCTAGCTCAGGGGTCTGCTCCCTCAGCCCAAGTCTCGGCAACCCGCCCGTTCGGTCACGGGAATGGCCGGGCTGGGCAAAGCGCCTCCCGCGGTGGCTTCGGAGCTGAGACACACGACGTTCTGAGCAACAAGGAGCCCGTGTCCTCCAGACGTTGTCGCTCTGCCGGCAAGCCCGCACTCTTCTGCCCAAGTTGCCAGCGAGGGGTCCCCCAGCAAGGGGGCGAGGGGCGGCGGGAGGGGGCAAGGCCAGGAGCCCAGAGACAGAGGGACGCTTTCCACGCTTGCTCTGCGTTGTCTGAATTTAATAACAGGAAATGCGTGTCTGCCTAATTCCAGAAACGGGGGGAAAGGAAGGGAAGAAACGATCTGCCCCAGGCTGAGCGGGATGCGCCTTCTCCTCATGGCTTGGCTGCCGGCCGCCCGCCGGCCATCCCCTCTGCCGGGCTCACCGTGCCCCTCGGTGTCCTCCAGGTGTCCTTGAAGGCCTCCATCCTCGCCGGGGACTGTGCCACCGCCGCTGCCATCGTGTTTCTGAGCGACCGGCTCCTGTACGGGCTCGACTTGTCCTCCCAGCTCCTGCAGGTGGCCAAGGGGCTGCACAGGCTGTGGCCGGACATGCCGATGGCCCCGCAGGTAGTCATCCGCCAGGCCCGAGTGGCGGTCAACGCAGGTAGGTGCCCTCCCGTGGGGGTGGGGGCCAGAGCCTTCCAGCACCAGCGCAAATGGCCAGATTAGAGTCCCCCCCGTCCCTCGGCTGCCCTGTCCCCTTCTGCAGAGCCACCTGGCCATGCTAGCAACAGAGCTGGCAGACCCCTGCAGCAATCCCAGGCTCTGTCACCCTCGCGACACCGGGCTGTACCCGCTGGGCCTTAAACGGTCCCCGTGTCCCTCTGTCACTGTGAATGAAACGAGAAGGGAAGCTGAGGCTGACTAGGGCGTGGCGGCCGGGAGGGGCACAGCGGAGGCTGCGTCCAGAACTGCGGTGTCTCCTTCCCGGGACGTGCTGTCCCGTCTCCAGGCGTGAGGACGAAGGCGGCGATGGACGGCAAGCTGCCTCCCCAGGGAGAGAAGCGGAGCGTTCGAACCGTGTCGGCCGTCGTTACTGCGTTGCTAACTCTGGTCTTTAAGGGGTTCAAACAGCTTCACTTCATTTCCTTTGAAAAGGAACCGCACTGACCGCGCTGGGCGTGGCAGTGGCTGCGGGCGGAGCTGGCAGGGCGGGCGGCGACGGGCGTTTCCAAAGCCAGAGTCCGTTCCCTCTCGAGACCTTGCGGCTGCGCCGAGTCCTGTCAGTTACTCTTCCAGCGTAACTGGGGACAGAGTTGAACCTGGGAAAGCGTCTCCTGTCAAATGTCCCGGATGTGGGACACTTTATAATGTTCAACCTAACAACCAGTGCTCCTTCTGAAGGTGTGGGGGGCCGTGCGGGGTGAGCCGAGTGCCCACGGCCCCGAGGTACAGAGAACTTCAGGAGGGGACTGGCCTGGCAGGTGACAGCAAGGCCACTGTCACCAAGGTGGACGGCGTAGGAGTGAGGGGCAGATGCTAGTGAAGAGGTGCCAGGGGTCCCAGGCCAGGCCGTGAGGGGCTTAGCGGCTCCCGGGGGGAGGGGGCAGGGGAGTGGACGACTGCATCCCCCCGATGGACAAACGGCCGGAAGTTCAGCCTCCCGTGCGGTGGGAGCCAACGTGAGCAAGAGAGTCAGAAGGAGCCTCCCCAGGCCCTGAACGCTCCCTAACAGCACGTCGCCCCCCCAGGTCCGCTTTTGCCTTGTGAGCCGTGTCTGCAGTGGGCGGAGCCTTCCGTGGCCGGCCACCCCCGTCTCAGGCCCGGCCACCCCCGCCTCAGGCCCTGCCATCCCCTTCCTCTCCCTGTTACCCGTGATGCAGCTGTTCATCTTAAATGTTCCCAAGAGAGGCCGCGGTCCCTGTGGGACGTGTAGCCCGTGGAGCAGGCACTGCTGCTGCTGCTCAGAGCTTGTGCTCAGAGCTGAGCGCGTGGCATTCGGTGGCTTCTTTTCAGGGAAACTTTTGAAGGCCGAGTACATCCTGAGCCGTCTGATCAGCGACAATGGAGCGACAGGTGAGCTGGCTCCCACCCTGCCAGAGTGCCGGCCCGCAGACGGCCAGTGACCCAGAACCACCGGGCATGGACATCCCCAGGGCTGGAACAGGCCTGCCGCCGGCGGACGGCATGGCTTTGGCCAGGCTGTTGACTTTATGTCTCCATTTTCTCTGCTTAGAAACAAAACAAAACACAACAGCCGAGCCTTCTCGTACCCACTGTGTCCCGTGGGGAGTGTCACTAACACGCAGTGTGAGAGCAGGTGACGGGCCCCAGGAGCAGCCTCCCGGGGAGCTGGGCGCTCAGGAGGGTGCGCGCAGGGCTGCATGGGTTCAAACAGTTTGGAAATACATTTGGCTCCATAAGAACTGTAACAAAAAAGGATTTTTGACGTTTAATCACATGTGAAAGGGAGCAGCTCCTAACGGTTAGGTTGGAAGTGACCGAAGCCTCCAGACAACTTGTCTGACTTTCTGGGTATTTAACTCAAATACCCAAGTTTCCCAAAATTTGACTTTCATTTCCAGCAGACCTTCAGGCTCAGGGTGCTGGGTGAAGGCCCACGTGCCTTGGCACCTGCGGACATCGCCAGGGTGAGAGGGCGTGTGGGGTACAAACACTGACCACACACCCTCGTTTGTGGCTGCCCTCACTGACACACAGCACACCCACTTCCCGTCCTCCACGCCCTACACACGCACGCACACATGCACAAACACGTGCACACACAAACATGCACACGCACGCACACACAAAACATGCAAATGTGCACACACATGCACACACACAAACACATGCACATGTAAACATGCACACATGCACAAACATGTGCACACACATGCACACACACCGAACATGCACACCAAACACACACAAACACACAAACACATGCATACACAAACATGCCGACATGCACACACACCGAACATGCACACCAAACACACAAACACACAAACACATGCATACACAAACATGCCGACATGCACACACAAACACACACGTGCACAAACACATGCATGTACAAACATGCACACACAAACCCATGCACAAATGCACGCACACGCACACACGCACACACAAATGTGCACACAAACATGCACACATATGGATTCAAAGCTAAGGCAAAAGCAGAGGGTCACGTGACAATAAAGAGGGGGTGTGTCAGTGAGTGACTCCACCACTGGCAGTTTCCGGCACCGCCTCCCCCACACCCTGGCCCTCTCTCCGCTACCAGGTCTCTGCAGGAGGTGCGACCGTGAGCACAGGGCAGGGGCCTTGCCGACCCTGGTGCAGTGTGCCCATGGGTCCTGACACCCAGACCAGCCGAGTGGGGGTGGGCCGGGTCCCGCCCTCCTGAGACAGCCAGGCGGCAGGGGCATGGACACAGTGGGCTCGCCAACCTGCGAGGCCTCGGGCAGAGGCACTGAGGCTGAGACCTGGGCGAGGGGGAGGGTGGTGGCCTCTGGGGCAGAGGCCACGCAGGGTCAAGCCACTGCCAGAAGGGGCTTGGGGTCAGCGCGGCGGGCACGGGGCAGGGAGCGGGCCGGGAGCGGGCACGCCCTTCCCAGGGGACCTCGGGCCTCACTGAGCGCGGCGGTGTCTGTGCGGTGTGCACTCTCGGGGGCAGCTGTGAGCATCGCTTTAGTTCAGCAGCTGCTCCTGCGACAGCTCAGGCCAAAGTGCTTCTCGTCCCTCTTTCGCCGCAGGCACCTGGCTGTACAGAAGGGAGAGTGACAAGGTCCTCGTGCAGTCGGTCTGCATCCAGATCAGGGGGCAGATCCTGCAGAAGCTCGGTGCGCCCCTCACGCCTGCCCCCGAGCCCCGGAGGTCGCCTGCGAGGCCTCACCCGGATCTGCGGGCCGAGTCTGGCTCACACTGTGACGCCTACTTCCGTTAGGGTGCACGCTGAAACTTAGGTCCCGACGAAACCTTTTCCAGTCGAGTTCCGTAAAAGAAACTTAGCTCTGTCTATTGTGGCTGTTAACCGTGGGGTTCCCGCGGTTGCCTCTGGCAGCTGGCTCTGCCTTGGGCAGGACTCCACGTGAGCGGTGACACCTGCTCTAAAGCAGCCCTAACACCTCACCTGCCTGAAAGATCTTCGGAGTTTTTCAAGCGGTTTACAGGACCCTAAGTGTACTTTAACGTGCAAACTAAAGTCCCTGAAGATAACAGAGGGTGGGAATCACGGTCTGTGTGGATGAGGGGGGCGATTATCTGTGTATTAGTCTACACCACACGTCACACACAATCGCTCTTCCTGCTTCCCCACGAGAGCGGGAATTGTCCGTGTTCGACCCGCTGGACGCGGACTGCTGGTGGCTGTCCGTCTGACCCGGCCCCCCGTTTTCTGACAGGCTCTAGTGTTAGTTTTCCAAACCGTTTTCCGTCGGGAGGGGGAAGCCGTAGCCGCGGACCGCTCCGCCCTTCTCTTCCAGGGATGTGGTGCGAGGCGGCGGAGCTGGTCTGGGCCTCGATCGTGGGTTATCTGACGCTCCCTCAGCTGGATAAAAAGGTCGGTGTCGCGCCTTCTTCCTTCCTCCCTGCGTTCGTCTTGGGTGGTCGTCCCCACGGCACAATTCCGTTTACCGCTCAGCAGCTTCGTTGGTCCCACTGTCATCGCTTCCGCGTGGGCACAGGGCTGGGAGCGGTTGATGGCTTCCCCTGTGACGGCTCTGCCCTCGCTTAGAGCCGGAGTCCTGGCACGCATCTCGTGTTTCTGTGTTTATCTCTGAGTAGCTGCTGGCAGACTCACTCGGGGCGAGCCATCCACCCGTTTGGTTGTACGCGTAGCCCTTGCATGATTCCACAGCAAAGCTGAGACGCCAGGTCGCTCCCCTGTAAAATCCTTTCCCCGGGTAAGTGAGCGGATTCCAGTTCTGCGCCCGGGAAAGTGAGCAGCGGTGGCGGCGGTCCTGCTTGGTGCGCCCATGCCCTGTGACGCGTGGGCACTCCCCGTGGCCGAAGCACCCGGCGGTCACGCTGTGTCTGCGAGCTGGGCCGACGCCGGTGGAATGCGGGGACTCCCGCCGAGGCCACTACGGGACGGTGTGTCTCCACGAGGCCGGTGTCCTCAGGAAGCAGTGGTCTCTCAAGCCGTGTGGCATCCAATTTACTGTGGTGACCCGTGTCACCGTCACAATGATAACAGCGGGGGTTTGTGTGGGGGCTGGTCGTGGCCCGTAAGCTGTGAGCTGAGAGCGACGACCGGCCGAGAATCCAGTCTGTCGTTTGTGTTCACCTCCAGGGCATCTCCATGTCCCTCGGGATCCTGGCAGACATCTTTATTTCCATGAGCAAGAAAGATTATGAGAAGTTTAAAAGCAACGCGCAGATGGACTTGGTAATTATCACCTGCCAGACCACGGTACAGAGTGGCAGCGCCCGTAGACTGTCGGTCTCGTCCCCACTGCACAGGGCGTCCCCTCTCAAGTGGTGTCAGCAATCGTGGGGACAGTTCCTACGTGTCCTGTTGGCTTTACTAGTCCAGCACCTGGCACAGAACCGGCACAGGGAGGGTACTCAACGAACGACAGGCAAAGGAACGAATGACAGCATCAAAGTGATAGATTCTGTGCACGCCAAGTACTTCCTTTCAAAGTATCACAAAATCTAATTTTCTCACTTGGGCCATCTCAATGACAAAGGGGTAATAATTGTAAGACTTTAATTATCATCTGTTTAAATCAGAGCATCAGTCACTTGTCCAGGCTCTTATGCTTAATAGCAATGGTCGCTAATGTTTATACGCTGCTTTACAATCAGAAAGTATCTGTGTACGTGCGCATGATCCATGTAAAATCCTGTGAGGGAGACAGAGCAGAATGTGTCAGTCGCATTTCAGAGAAAAGTGGACTGGGGTCCAGGGAAGCGGCGTGAGCCCCGCAGTCTGCAGAGCCAGTGAGAAAGCAGGCTGGGAGCAGAAACCACACAATGCCACGTCGTGGAGCAGAGTTGCCACTAGTAATCCGACCCTTAGCACAACCGTCAGACAGACACAGAAGAGGGTCATGTCCCTTGTTCAGAGGCGTTGTGTCCGGCCGCTGTTTAAAATCTCAAGCTTCCTTGCCACAGGACCTCCCTGACCCCTCCCACCTCACTGGACTCTGGAACACGGGTGGCCATCTCGCTTATTTTGTAAATCAGCAGTCCCCTCCCCCGACAGAAGGCAGGCCCACTGCAGGCTGACCGCCTGTCGCCAGCATGGCCAGGACAGTGCCTGGTGCGCGGGTTCTTAGTCACATTCTTAGATGAATAACCACATCTTAATTGCTGCAAAATCATAAATTAGAAGGTTCTTTGCCAAGAATAATTCATGAATCAGTTATTCTGGGTATGAAATGTGCGGGGTTCCTGTGACCCACACATCTCCCCCGCCTCCTGGGCCTTGGGGGAATAGGGGGTGGGGTGCCGGCGGGTTTGGGGGT